AATAATTCGATTAAAGGAACAATTTCTAGATTATCCTATAAAGGCTATTCGCCTTGATAATGCTGGAGAATTCTCATCTCAAGTTTTTGATGATTATTGTCTATCAGTTGGGATAAAAGTTGAACATCCTATAGCTTATGTTCATACTCAAAATGGCCTTGCAGAGTCATTTATTAAATGCCTGCAATTGATAGCAAGGCCACTGCTTATGAAAATAAAATTGCCCACTACTGTTTGGGGCAATGCTATCTTGCATGCAGTATCACTTATCTGTCTCAGACCGATACATTATAATAAATATTCTCCGTCACAATTAGTTTTTGGTCATGAACCAAATATTGCCCATCTACGAATTTTTGGATGTGCTGTATATGTGCCAGTAGCACCACCACATCACAGTAAGATGGGCCCGCAGAGAAGGTTAGGAATATATGTTGGGTTTGAATCACCCTTTATTATTCGCTATCTTGAACCATTGATGGGAGATTTATTTACTGCTCGATTTGCAGATTGTCGGTTTGATGAAATAAATTTTCCACAATTAGGGAGAGAGAAAAAGGGAATCAAAAGAGAAATTGTGTGAAAAGTTTCATCATTATCTCATTTTAATCCACGTACCCCTATATGTAATCAGGAGGTCCAGAAGATTATCCATTTATAAAATATAGCAAATCAAATGCCAGACGCGTTTACTGATTTGAAAAGGATAGCTAAGTCACATATCCCTGCAGAGAATGTACCTATACGAATTGATGTCCCATCAGGACTATCTACTAGCATAAGAACTAGTGAACCTAAAGCACGCCTGAAGCGTGGTAGGCCTTTGGGTTCTAAGGATCGAAATCCTCGAAAAAGAAAATCGACAAATGATCAAAACGATACTATAAAGGGATCTCCTGAAGAGACCGAAGATCTGATTAGTTATGAGATTCCTGAAGAAATTATTGAACCTGAGACTCAAGTGAGCGAGGAATTTTTAATAAGTTCTACTTGTGATGAATTAATTTAAATCGATCTGAAATAGTTGTGGATAATATTTTTGCTTATAATGTTGCACTTAACATTATGCAAGATAGTGAGGATTTTGAACCCCGATCTATCGAAGAATATCAACAAAGATCTGATCGGCCAAAATGGCAAGGAGCAATTCAATCAGAATTGAATGCACTTGCTAAAAGAGAGGTCTTTAAACCAGTAGTCCAAACACATGATGGTATAAAACCAGTTGGTCATAAATGGATTTTTGTGCGAAAAAGGAATGACCAAAATGAGCTTTGTCGCACAAGGATTCTCACAACGACCTGGAGTCGATTATAAAGAAACATATTCACCCGTTATGGATGTCATAATATTTTGATATCTCATCAGTTTAGCCTTACGTGAAAGGCTTGAAATACATATGATGGATGTGGTTACAACTTATCTGTACGGGTCACTTGATAATAAAATTTACATGAAAATCCCTAAAGGATCTAAAATTCCTGAAGCATATTCGAAATCTTGGGAAATGTATTCAATCAGATTACAAAGATCTTTGTATGGTTTAAAGTAATCTGGGCGCATGTGGTATAATCGCCTTAGTGAATATTTACTGAAAGAGGGTTACATAAATGATGTTATTTGTCCATGTATTTTTATAAAGAAAATGGTATCAAAACTTGTTATACTTGCTGTTTATGTTGATGACATAAATCTTGTTGGAATTCCAGAAGGGCTCCAAAAGGCAATTGAATATCTTAAAAAAGAATTTGAAATGAAAGATCTTGGAAAGACAAAACTTTGTCTTAGACTGCAAATTGAACATTTAGCAAACGAGATCTTTATACATCAATCTGCCTATACAGAAAGGGTCTTAAAACTCTTTTACATGGACAAAGCGTACCCATTGAGTACACTAATGGTTGTTCGATCACTTGAAGTGAATAAGGACCCGTTCCGACCTCCAGAAGAGGATGAGGAATTCCTTGGTCCTGAAATACCCCATCTCAGTGCAATTGGTGCACTTATGTATCTTGCTAATGCTACAAGGCCTGACATAGCATTTTCTGTTAATTTACTAGCAAGATATAGCTCTTCTCCTACTCGGAGATATTGGAATGAGATTAAGCATATTTTGCGATATTTAAAGGGAACTCTTGATGTGGGTTTGTTTTATGCTAACAAAGGTAGTGCAGATCTTATTGGTTATGTAGATACAGGTTATTTATCTGATCCCCATAAAGCTCGATCTCAAATCGGGTACGTGTTTACATGTGGAGGTACTGTCATATCATGGCGCTCCACAAAGCAGTCAATTGTTGTTGCTTCTTCAAATTATGCTGAGATAATAGCTATTCATGAAACAAGTAGGGAATGCGTATGGTTGAGATCAGTGATTCATTTTATTCAAGAAAAATGTGGTTTGGAGTGTGATAAAAGATCCACAATTCTATACGAAGACAATGTTGCATGCACAACCCAATTAAAGGGGGATTTATAAAAAGATATAGAACGAATTATATTTCACCAAAATTATTCTACACACATGATCTTCAGAAAAATAGTGACATCTATGTGCAACAAATCCGTTCAAGTGACAATCCAGCAGATTTGTTCACTAAATCTTTACCAACTTCAACTTTTGAGAAGATGGTATACAAGATTGGAATGCAAAGACTCAAATATTTAAAATAAGATTTTTATCAGGGGGAGTGAAATACACGTTGTATTCTTTTTTCCTTACTAAGCTTTTTCCCATAGGGTTTTCCTTGTAAGGTTTTTAATGAGGCAGCTAGAAATGCATATTACTAAATATGTGTACTCTTTTTCCTTCACTAGGATTTTTTCACTGGGTTTTTCTTAGTAAGGTTTTAACGAGACACAATACCTTTTAATGAACATTCAAGGGGGAGTGTTATGAAAATAATTATATTGTGGATGTCGATTTATTACTCCGCTATACATAATCTTCCTGAAGAAGATTATCTATTTAGTACTCTGTTGAAGTTTATCTACAAGCAGCTGATGCAGGCAGGTAGCAAGCAGTTCAATGAAATAATTGCAGCAGCTTCTTATTAAACAGGCAGGTTGCAAGCGGCTCATGCAGACAACTTACAAGCAGCTAAAGAAAAGTCTTGCAGTTACTTCCTGAAAAGCCTCGCAACTGCTTCCTTTCTTCTATAAATAGAGGAATTTTTAGTTCATTATGTACAGAAGTTTGAAGTTTGAATAATATATCAGTTTCTCTCTATACTTGTCTTTACTTTATAGTTTTTATTTTATAACAAATTCCAGTCTATTTCGGCTTTGCACCCACAATAATTTCTATTTTCTTTACAAACGTTGTCGTTATCATCTTTTGTGAATTTTTTTATATTATTTGTAGTTATTTTGCACAATTTATTTTGGCTACCCAAAAGTATTATTCACGTAAAAAGAATCAAAGATTTTGTTATTCATTCCAGTTTAAGGTTAACTTTGTTGGAGTCAAGAAAATTATTTTTTACAACGGACTATAGAAAAGTAAGGTACAAACCTTATACAGTAAAATAATACAACATAAAAACATATATTGTAGAAGTAACTATTTTTTATTCAACAATTTGTAATTAAAGTAAAATGAATTTGGATACAATAGTCATTTGAAAAAATTCTGAAATAAGCAATAAGCATATAAAGTTCAGTGGTTTAAATAAAAGCATTATCATGCTACATGATTAGACTTGGTACAACTTAGTGTAATAATTGTCGGAGGCATTAGCTATTTTACAATAATATTAAAGATAGATTCCCTAATAAAATAAAGGAAGGTCATATACATTATGCTAACTGATTTACAAAAATGGAGTAAGAACTTAAAACATTTTCACAGAAGAATAAAGAGGGAAAAAAAAATTGGCGTCCAGAGCAAAGGTAGATAAGATGATGAAATACTACTTAGAATTATAAGAATAGAATTGAATTATCATATTAACAAAAGAAAATTATTATCATAACGAAAACATAAAATAAATATTAGATGGTTTGATGCTTATACCGTGCCATTGCCATTCTTTTAAAAAAAAGAATAATACTACTATAGCTTAATGTTGGATCTTAGTCACATTTCATTATATATCTCTTTATCCTCAAAATAAAGGTTTAATTAAAAAAATTGGTAGGATTTAAATTCAAAATTTTGTAAACATTCAAACTGATTGAGGTTAAAAAAATATATGAAATTGAAATTGAAAAGTGTGCATTATGTGTGGACATGAACGGTGAACTTGTCTTCAAAGAATTTGCTGAAAATTTATGAGTGAAAATCTCATTTATTTCGTCTGAAGTACTCCTTAAACAAAATTTTCAATAGAATATACAGTTAAATAATTAATTAACTTGAATTAGGTTAGTTTGTCCCTTTAAACTTGGGCCCGTGCACAACACAGGCTATCGGACTATCTCTTACTAGTTAATATCATAAGCTACATGTTAATTAAACTTGTGTCACATGAAATAACACTCAAAGATGTAACCTAGTAGTTAATGAACTGAGTTAAGAAACATAAGACAAATATATTAGATAATTTCTTTTTGTTTATCTAAAATTTAGTAAACAATCGAGCTCAAGTTAATCTTGAGGCCACGATTGTTTTACATGAAATATAAAGTAATTTGCTATTTAAAAAAATACAAAAAGATAGTTTGATATACAAAGTATCCTGTATTTATACATAGTTCAGAAAAAGACGCATATCGAGGGATATGATGTGGATAATTTACCATAATATAAGTATTAGAGATTGATTCCACGACTCGAACTCTTAACATATAAATTATATAAAGATAATTTTATTATTATTCTAAGGTTCCCGCTATTTAAAAATACACACGTGCTAAATTCTCACGGATAAGTCGCGTGGAAGCAGAAGCGAACGACACAAACATATAATTCAGCAACTGACTCATACCAAGAAGTGGGCCCATGTCGGCCCCACATAGTTACGAAAAAAGAAAGCTTGTTGCGGTAGACTAAAGTACTAAACTAAAGTAAAACGTACGAAAAGAAAAGCTAACTGAAAATTCTCTCCTTCTCTTCGGTACAAACTCACCCAAATGTAGCAAATCAAAACCCTAATCAACACAGTGATTACAGGTAGCTAATTGTTTTATTGCTATTATTGGGGTTTGAATTATAATATATTTTATGATCTACTATATATTTTCTGTTTAGGAAAATTCAATTAAATTGTACTGATATTGAGAGATGATAAGCAAAGAAAAGGCACCTGAACCACTTGATTTCTTCATTTGGACAGTTGAGGTACTTGTTTTTTTTTACTTTCCAGTTGACTTTTGTATTATCTTTAAATTGATCGTAATTCCACTAGTACTAGTAGATCTTGTGAGTTTACTGTTAATTTGATTACAGTATATGATAGTGCTTTTATATTGGTTATTTTGTAATTTGGGGTTTTCTCATTTCTGATGTAGATTTTTTTTTCTTCTTGATATTCGATTGCGTTTTTGGGTATTGCAAGGAGTTGGGTACTATGATAATTTCCTTTATGCGCATCTCGGCTATCTCGACTATTCCAGGTACCTAATACCTCCCACCCGCACAAGCAGGGGCGGAGCTAGCATGTGGGATACGTAGAGGCGGAACCAAGATATGAGTACGATGGGGGCACCACTGTATGCTAATCACTAGCTATAAAATTCGGCGTGTAACTATTTAAAAACTTAATGATTATGATGACTTATCATCCAAATATAAACAAAAAGAAGTTCTAAAGAAAAAGAAAGTACCTAGCAGAGAGAGAGATTTCTTCGCAAAATTGGTGCTATGGAAAGGGAAGGTATTTGATTAAGCATGTTTCACACTTTAAAATTTCTAGTTTTTTAATTAAAAAGGGGTCAGTGATCAAAAGGGCGTTCAAACTTTAAATTATCAAAAGCTTACTAAAGAAATCAAGATTAAGGGTATGTTAATAGTCAAAGAACCGAAGAAGAGTCTCAAACTATTAGTTACCATTATCGAGTCGGAGTTAAAGTAATTGTTGAAGAAGGTTGTGGCAGAAGGATTTTCTATTTTTCTATTTGTGGAGTGACAAGTTGCAATTTGAGGCTTTTAATTTTAAGGGATGAATTTGAAAAAGAAAAGTTAATTAAGTAGACTATTATGTGTTAGTGCTAAACTATAACTGAATTAAAAAAAGAAGAAGATAAAAGTAAAAAATAAAGCAATTTGCTAAGTGTAAATTATCGTTGTAGTTAAAGAACTAAAATAGAAAAGAGGAGAAAAAGCAAGAACTAAAATAGAAAGGAGGAGAAAAAGCTGAAGATGGTTTCGAACCCACGTCCATCCACCAAAGCAGGGAACTTAAGCACGCAACACCATTTCTCCCGTCCAGTTTTCTGTGTATGGGGGACACAAGCAAAATATTTAAGGGGTCCCAAGTATATATGTACAAATATACACAAGATATATATACATGATTTTTGCCGAGGCTAACGGGGTCCCGTGACCCCTCAACCCACAATGTGGGTCCGCCTCTGGGGATACAAGTTCGGTTGAACAATAGCTTTGGTCCAATTCTATATTTGTCTTAATAAATCTATTGAATATATACAAATTATTAATTTTGAATCCAGTAACTTAAATGCACTAGCATCCCGAACCCATAAGCTTCAAATCTTGGCTCCGCGTATGAGTATAGGTACATGTAACGGGCAACTCTGTTTTCCAAGGCTTAGGAAAATAAAAAGAAACCGCCTAGTATTTTTTTGCCTATGTTGGGATTTGAACCGAAGACCTCATATTTCTTCCATTTCATTGACTGCTAGGTCACACCCTTGGATGCAATGGGTAGTATGATAATTTTCTTGATTATATGAATTTTGTGAGTGTGGGTGGTTAAAAGATGTGCTTTTTAATCACCTCTGGCTCTTGTGTTGGCTCTGGCTCTGCTGTATACTGCAGGTAAAAGTTGCCTAGAGCAAACCCCATGGCTTTGGTCTAGTGGTAAAAGAGCAACGTGTAATGTGTAGATGAGGTGCACATTAGGGGTTCGAACCCTGCCGAAGACAAGAGTATGGTATTTAAGTAGAGAAGGGTAGATGAGCAGACCCATTATCCATCGAGTTTCGAACGTGCGCCGCTGGCCTGTATTTCTCGGTTATACCCAAAAAAATTAAAAAGTTGCCAGGAACAGCGGATGGGATTTATAAGGATTATACTGTAGGTCACTAGGTGAGGGATTGGATCTAAAATGAGGAGCTCAAGAGTGTGATTATTTGAAAAGTATTTAGTCAGTCTTACATTAACTTAATATATTATAAAAATCTTATTATAGCAGTGATAGTAATACATGAAATTAGTTGAATTATAAGTATGTCTTATTTTTTATGATCAGTAGGAACTAGGAAGATATGAGAAGATTAACAAAAGGGTAGAATGAGAACAGAACAAAGAAATAAGTGAAAAGGAAAAGCAAGGAGAGAGAAAACTAGTGGCACAGCAGAACATTGTTGATGTTTCGGACATATTATTGTAGATTTGGTTAGGGGCGAAAATCGTCATACGTTCCTCTGTTTCTGAACTAGTGAAGTACATTGGTGCACTTACGTTGTTAAGCAGCACAAATACGAATTCCGTTAGTAAAGTTCATAGGTTTTAGACCTAGGCCCACAAGATCATTTACCGACAGAGGCAGATGCAATGTATCGGCACCGGGTTCAACTGAACCCAGTACTTTTGGCGTGGAACATAAATTTATGTGTAAAAATTCATTAATATTGCAATATATAGCAATATGAACCCATAACTTTAAAAAATATAATGGGTCTAAAAACCTTAAAGGTTGAACCCATAAAACTTAAATCGTAGACCCGCCTATGTTTACCGACTGTGGGCAATTGGCAAGTTCCATCTGTTGGAATTCATTTTCTTAGAAAAAAGAAAAAATAATCACAAACTCTGTGCGATTTCACTGTGAATTCTTGGAATATCTGAGGTGTGAGAAGTTTGAGTTAATTTCACTCTAGGCATCTTTGCACGGCCTTATACCTGAGTCCTGACTGTGGATAACTGGCCTGTTCCCTCTTTATTTTGTAAATTCTTTTAGTTAGGTTATCTGAGGCGAGGTGGTGAATTTTGTACCCTACATGCTACATACTTCTGACCAGTTTTTTTTGTTTTGCAACCTGTGGCCATACATAACATGGTTTTTCGTGGTGGAGTTTGAGGACTTTTGTTAAGGGTCCCTAACATCAGTTACCAACTCCAATGTTTGTGTCACAACTTCTATTAACAAGTCCATCTGACAGTTGCACCGTTATAAGATTAAGAAACTTAGTATTGATCAACTAGTTTTGATAGAGGGAAGAAAAAAATATTCGTTGTTATGATGGAGAGAATGAAAAAGCACACTTGCCTGGGTTTTACTGAAGAGAGGGCCAAATTGGAGAGACTAACTAATGAGTTAAATAAGGTATTCTTTCAAGAGACTAACTAATTCAGAAAATGAGTATTTTTTTTTCCGAGTTTGTGGAAGAGGAGGAGAAAGCGGGAGACTTAGGCAAGTGTACATGCACAATGGACAGGCTTCTTGTCTTTGCAAATGGTGTCATAAAGTGTGCTTATTTCGTTGACTCCACCTATAAGAGTGTTTTAACTCCTTTTAGATGACTTTGCGTCTCTTCTGAACAACTGTATAATGCTTGGTCAGTTGCTATCTTTGGTAGTGCTTGGTCATCCATGAGCTATGGTGAGAGATGTAAGTCATAAGGTGGAAAACATGCAATTACTATTTATACCTAATCTTAAATTCTTGAAAAATGCCATCTTTTCAGGATTGAGAAGTTATCTCATCAGCAAGTATATCACATGTGCAGTAGAGCCAGGACAGAGCCTATGCCACTCTTGTCCTACTACTGCTTCGCATAAAATTTTATCTATATGGTGTGTATAGACTGATTAAGTTGGAGTGATATGAATGCCATTTTAGCTCGATATTTCACCGATGCTTTACAATTTCTAGTCCTCTCTCTCAGTTTTTAGTGCTAAGAGTAGATGAATTGGAAGGAAAACAATTTTCTACTTCTTGTGTAAAATTGAAAAATCACATTTCTCCCCTTGAATGAGGTGGAGACAATTATGTGACAGGTTAGATTTTCAACTTTTACACGTAAAGCCAAAATAATCAAGCAACTGTTGTCCTGTATTGGCCACTGGTTAAGCCAATTGGCGAAGCTACACCTATTGCAAAATGCTTATATGTCCATCCCTTGCTACATGGCAGTTTACTTTCCGAATTTCATCACTATGGAATGCGCAAAGCATACACTGATATGTAGCAATTCTTGCTGCGTGACCTTAGAGATAGAAAATGAACACCCAAAAATGGTATAGTCGTATTAAGATACGTTTTGCAGGCTACTGCCAAATCCATAGACTGACGGGGCAATGCCCGATTTGAGGAGCGGAGTGACTGATCTATGAGATCATCTGTTTTCTACGTTCTTCAAAACCCTACTGAAATAGTGAATGGATAATACTTTGAATGCTTTGACCTCGTGTAATTATTATGTGGAAAAAGTTGCTTTAGTAGTGTTAGACAATCTGTGTAAGAAGAGTTCCCTTCTTCTGTAAGTTCCGTTCTACGATAAGTTGGCATACTTGTTCACTTTATCAAAATGGGGCCCTGAGATATATTACGACATATAAGGTATTACTTTGATTAGCTAAAGTTATTGAACTAAAACTAATAAAACTTTAATCTTCATAAACACCTAGTATTTTATTCATAAGATATCTCGCGTAATAGAAAAGCATTCTCATAATTTATAGAACTATGTATATGACATAAACCCAAAAATCAAACCAAATACCCAATCAATCTAAACTTCTCGGTCATAGAATGTAGTCAAAGTACCCAAGTTGACCAAATCCGGCATGAATCCCACACCCATGTCGTGTCGACATGGCTGCAGCATGGATTTTGAAGAGTCCGCCGCAATATAGGCGCTCTGAACTCTGTCCTTTTGTTTTAGGTGTTGCTTAATCGAAGAAGATGCATTTTATTCAATCACTGACATTCTGTTGCTTCTCTTGTTTTCCCAGGATGTTGGTTTATGGTTAGAAGAAATAAATCTTGGCAGCTATCGTCAAATTTTTAAAGAAAATGGTGTTAATGGAGAGTATTTGGAGGGGATGTCCATGTTCACGACTGAACAGATTCTCCGGTTTATAAGAAGGTGCCACATGAAATGGGGAGACTTCATAACGTTGTGTAAGGAGCTGAGGCGGATAAAAGGTTCCTATACTCTCTCTCTCTCTCTCTCTCTCTCTCTCGGCTCACAACCGAAACCATATCTCTTAACTTCTCCTTTCTCTTGATGTGAAGTTTGAGAGATTTCTTTGTCTGTCTATCAAGCAATTTCTTTGAGTTTAGTAAGATTCTGTTTTTTTGTTATATAGTACTAATCTTTTCATTATTTGCCACTGTATTATATATGGCCCCTTTTATATTTATTGATTAAAATCATGTCTTCAGTGGCTTGCTTAAAGGGGGAGCAAAGAGTCCGGCAACCGTGGTGGGCCCCATCTTGTTTCTCTGTAGTCTTTACGAAGACGGCCAAGCGTAACAGGCAGTGTAGAGTGGTTTCACTGAAGCTGGAGCCTTAACACTGATGTGCCTTCTGTGTGTATGATAAGTTAATGAATATTCCCAAGAGGAGAGTAGTGGAAAATGGTTGTTCCTCTGTTTATTTCCCTAATATTTTTTTTGCTATTTTATTGATTTGAAGAACTACCTCTTCTGCCCAAGCATTTTGTATACGTAACTTTGTAGTTTACTTTTGCCCTTTGTTTGTAGTTGTGATGTTTATAGTTTCAACTGAAGAAAAGAGATGATGCTTATGTAAATTAATTTCAGTGTGTTTAATAGTTCCAACTTCCATTCTAAGTTTAACGCTAGACAATGACCTGCGTACAGATTGAATGTATTTGAACTCCTGATATTACATATTTGCTTCTCTCGAACGATCCAACGACGAAAGTTCGAGCTACTGATACTGTATGTACATGCAGAAACAGCAGAATAAGAAATAGAAAATCTAGAAAACAATAGATTTCTTAGACTATCATTCATGTCTATTCTCACATGAGGAACTTACATAGAGTTTTAAGTTCTTAACTTTTATACACTGATGCTAGGGGTGTTCATAAAAACCCGAAAAATCGAACCAAACCGAAAACCGAACTAAATCGACCAAAAAAACCAATACTTTTTAGGTTTGGTTTTGGTTTTGAATTTTAAAAATCGATCAGATTTGGTTTGGTTTGGTTTTGGTTTTAATAAGAAAATAACCGAAAAAATCGAACCAAACCGACTATAGAAGTAGCTATTTAAATTTATTATTACACCTATTGATCACGCCCAACTATGCCTTGTAAAAAGGACTAAGCAGTCGCTGCAAATATAATCCAGTTCAAGTCCGGAGTCGAATCCCACAGGGAACTAACCTATTTACTACAACTTTAAATAATGCTAATGATAAGCTCAGACAGCTTTCAGATGCAAGAGTTTTATGAATAATCAGTGGAATTTATTTAGCTAAGGAAAAATGACAATAAAATTAGCAATAATCAAGACTAAAATTGAATTCAAGGGTAAAAGGATCTAGGGCTATTGATTTCCCCAATTGCCGGATTAATTCTTAACTCTTTAGCAATAATCTCGCCGTAATACTCTATGAGGATTATGAGTTTCGGGCTACCATAATTATCTCTCAATCAATTACGATAATTTACTAGAAGCATTCTCTCGAACTACTCTAGTTAACAATTTATGCAACTCAGAATTATCCCACCAAAGCTTCGTTATTTCTAACCCACTTTTAAATTCAAGTAATTAATCTCTTAACTTACCCAAAAGTGGTGTTGTTCAACAACAATCTAACCAAGTGTTCTTTCTCAAGCAACACAAGGTAACTAGACACGATTAATCAAGGACCCTTTCAATTAACCACAATACAATACGTAATTGAACAATCATAGAACAAACACGACTCAATTATGACAAAATAGAGTCAAGACTTCATCCAACAATTGATTCCATCAACCCTAGATAATAGATTTAGCTACTCATATTAATGAAAAATAAATCACTAAAATAATTCATAATCAACAAATAGAAGTACGAAGAAGAAGATGAAAACTCTTAGGAAATTATCCGTCTTCTCTCCCTTGTTCTTGCCTCTCAAATCTTCTAAAATCAGCTATATCTGACTTCTGGGTGAGTTTAGGCTTCATATAGGTTTAGGTTAGTCGCCTAGAAAATTTACATAATTAACCCTGCGTGTTTGGCTTTCGTCCGCCCGTCCGCGGCCGCGGATTTCCACTGCCTCACTGCCTTGAGTTCGCGAGCCAATTCGCGGCCGCGCACCCGGAGGGGTCGTCTCGCTTGCTTTTCTCGCTCCTTTTCGACCGGTCTAACCTTCGATTGGCCTTCCACACTCCATGTTGACTCCAAAACACTCGTTAGCTCCCTCCTAGCTCGGAGTAGCTCCTGCAAAGCATCAAATTCTTAATTAGAGCATTTTGTTATCTTTTAGCATTCAAATATCAATAAAGTACGGCTAAATTAGAGTGTAAATAGTGTCTAAATTGCATAAATATAGCCTACTATCACCTATATACATATGTATATTTTAATATAAAGTTTCTAAAATGTTATGGTACATATTAGTCGTTTGTATTTTAAGTCTAGTTTTTTGCTATTACAACAATCTAATTCTTTTCCTTTACATTCTAGTTTGATTGGTAGTTTGCTTTTGCTAAGTACAAGAATTATTTCATGTTAAAAATAATGGATTTTTAATTGAGTACTTAAATTATTCATCACTATTTGATTCAATTATCATTAATATATCATGGTAAATGATAGATTTCTCAAAGAGCAATTGGGTTGATAGTGTTACGTTGAAAATGTAGTCGACGGAATATGTGTTTGGTAGTGTATGTCTCATATTTAATAAAAAACCCGATAAATAATCGAAAAAACCGATAAAAACCGACAAAAACAAAATCGCTAAAAAATCGACTTATTGGTTTGGTTTGGTTCCAACATTTTAAGAACCGACTTACTTAATTTGGTTTCTTTTTGGGAAAAAATCGATCCAAACCGAACCATGAACACCCCTAACTGATCCTATAAATGTCAGATAATCTAAAATGCAGTTTTTGGAAACTGTTCATAATAAGTGGAACCAGTAACATGAAAATTAAGGCAACGTAATTTTCTATAGCATGTTAAGTCATACTGACAGTATAAAAAGGGCAGCTTAGTGTACAAAGCATCCCGCGTTCACGCAGGGTCGGGGAACACTGCATCCTAAGGGGGATGTAGATAGTTTACTCTACCCCAATGCAAGTATTAGTGGTGCCTTCCACGGTTCGAACTGTAACCTACAAGTCACATGAATACAACTTTACCGTTGTTCCAAAACTCTTCTTCCACACTGACAATATAAAATTGTCATTAAACTGTTAATGGATAGAAGTTAAATCAGTTAAATATAAAACACCCATTCGTTAAATGTTCATCAACATTCCTTGCCACCAACAGCTTTTGGATTATCTAATCCCTTGATTCACCCATTTGCTAGGTAAACGTTCAGAATCTACATATAGTGATAAAAGTTACAGTAATGATTAAATTTTGTTAATTAAATTGATTATTCAAATGTCGAGTAATGTCATTGTATTTTAAGATTTCCAAGTTCATAATGAAAGAACATACTTAATGAGGTAAATAACGTATTCTACTTTCAATTAATAACACGAAACGCAAGATATAATTTCCTTTAGTAAACTCTTCTTTTCTTTATTGATGTTCAACTATACATTCAGTTCATTTCTTCTTGATTTTCCGTTTTGCAATCGTTCATTAATTGTACTTCCATTAATTGTCATTACCTATAGTATTTAACCCCTTCCTATGCTTATTTTTTCATAGTGCCCCCAAATTAATCTTACAATTTAATACTTTAGTTCTTTCATGGCTACTCCAGTATTCAGCCTCACAAAACAAAGACCAAGAAAGCAAAGTAAGATATTCCTCTTCCTTGTATTGATGTGCTATACATAGAGTCAGTGGATTCAAAATGAGTCTTTACGTACATATATATTTATAAATATACATGCACAAGCATAGAGTTTTTTTTTTTTTTTTTTTTTTTTTTTTTTTTGCATATGTACATATAAATCAAGTCGAAAGCAGTTCAAGGGAGAACTAAGCCTTTTTCCTATGGGTTCAATTGAACGTTGAGGATAAATATTTATGTAAAAAACTATTAAAATTTCAACAAGTATTAAATTTGCACTCATAATTTTAGAAGTACAGAACCTTAAAAGGTTGAACTAATCATGCTTAAATTCTAGTTAGTTGAACTCATGAAACTCGCTCTAGCTTCGCCTCTACTTGATATTGTTTATTGTGGTTTAATACCTCATTTTTTAAAACTAAAGGATATGCTATTTTCTCTGCAGTGCTAACAAATATGACATGCAAGTTAATGCTTCTTGTTGTTTTGGGCGTTCACGTTCAAACTTCCTCTGCAAGGAAGCTTCTCGGGGATTCATTTTTACCTAATTTTGACTTTAACGGAGGGTTTGACCAAATTCTAGGAGGTCTTGGTGGTGGTGGTGGCGGTGGCGGCGGAGGTGGAGGTGGTGGAGGAGGTAGTAATGGTGGATTTGGGGCTGGCTTTGGATATGGCGAGGGTCATGGATCAGGTGCAAATGGTCGTGGCGGCGGCGGCGGCGGAGGTGGTGGAGGTGGCGGCAGCGGTGGTCAAAATGGTGGTAGCGGTTTTGGTTTTGGTTTCGGACATGGTGGTGGTGGAGGATTTTGATCCCACCATTTCTTCAAATATTTTTTTATGTAATAAGTGAAAAGCAAATTAAAAGCAAAGAATTTGCTATAGCTATGGTCAATGGTTCTTGAATAAACATTTTGCTAATACAAATGTTTAATTTTTTTTTAATTAGATAAAGGTTCACTTGTTTCATCTTCATTTGATTGTTCCAATTTAAGGCATTGATGTTGGTAAGATGAAAATACAGATTTGTCGTTTTTAACAATAGTTAACATAACATGCAAAGATTTTACAAAAGGAAAAAACGAAAAAAGAAAAAGACAGTTGTAAAGAATGTCCAATATGGACAAACAAAGGAGAATATATTGAAATAACGTCAATTATTGAAAACCAAATGAATAACAATAACGTTTTAATTCACGAGTCATGAAATACAAATTTGAATTTTCAGCTACTACATTATCTTTTGGGACAAAGGAATGAATCTACTTTTTTTTCAAATTTATCCGCTCATTTATCGGTAATAATTTATTCGTACCCGATATTTATATTAAATAAATAAATAAAAGTGAATAATGATGTATAAGAGGTGTTTATACACACTTTATACTGTTATACAAAATTATAAAAGATACAATTACTCCTTAATATAATTGCATGTTCCTATAAATTAAGATCTGCCATACATATTCAGGAGCTGAGGAATCGACTTGCAAGAAAAATCTTGATTGAAAGTGTATATCTTCATATTTCTCCTATATCTTCGGCTAGAAAATGCTCTACCTATAAAGTACACCCATTATTTGGAAAGGATGACTAAATTATCAAATTGACCTTATTCGTACACTCTTGTATCCGTTTGGTATAATTATTCATATCAGGATCGAAATAATCAAGTGTCATGTGAAAGCTAACAAAGCATACCTTCATCAACAATGATAAATCAGACATCAAAAGAGAAATATACTAAAAGAGACCCGAACATTTAATGTGATTCGATCAATTGACCTATGTCTGCAGACGTAGATGAGCAATCCACTATATAAAAAGAGAAAATAAAATATCATAAAAAGAGAAAATAAAATATCGA